AAGGCAGTCACATGATACAGACAGGGCCAATCACAGCCCATCTGTATCATGTGATCAGCTTTGCCCAATCACAGCTAATCACAACAAAAGACTGAATGAATCTGTTTCATTGAGTAACAATAATTGCAAATATCAATGAAATACATTGGTATTAGCAATCATAATGTGTTAAAAAAAAAAAAAATCCTGATCACTTGCCCAGAGTAGTTCAATGTTACTATGGTAACACTGTATTTCTTTGGTCACAGTGTGCTGAAAAAAAAAATTGTAAAAAAAATAAAATAAATAAAAAAGAAAAAAAATAATAGAAACATTTGAAATTAAAAATACAAATTAAATTATTTTTATTGTCACCAAAGAAGTGTAGCAGAATACATCTTGACCTAAATTTATGAAGAAATGTTATTTATTTGCAAAATTTTATAACAGAAAAGAAGAAAAGTGTGTTTTTTTTCAAACGTTTCAGATGTTTTTTGTTTTATTTAGCAAAAAATAAAAAAACTCAGTGGTGAATAAATACCACCAAAAGAAAGCTCTATTTGTGTGAAAAAAAAATGATAAAAATTTCATATGGGTACAATGTTGCATGACTGCGCAATTGTCATTCAAAGTGCGACAGCGCTTAAAGCTGAAAATTAGCCTGGGCAGGAAGGGGGTAAAAGTGCCCGGTATTGAAGTGGTAATACTCCTGATTCGGGCAAGTGTGTGCTACAGAAAGAATTGAGCCAAGTGATGCAGGCTCTGGAGCGTGCTTTTATAATGGAATAAGTAGGGGCTTGACATGATTAGCCTTGGGGGACAGATAGAAGGAACCTCTACTCTACCCACAGCAGTTTGTGCCCTTCATCAAAACCATAATGAAAGTGCCTCTTTCTCATAGCTCCAGGTATTTGTATTTTGTACAATATGACAAATCAATTTAGTCAGTGGAATGTCATCACTTAATTTTATAATATAATGGCTGTACTATTTTTATAGAACTGTAACATCTGGTGGGGAACTCTCATTAAAGAGTCCAGGAGCTATGAGAAACCAGCATGTGAATCAACATGCCAGCAGCAACAGCACTGAAAAACAGTTTTGGGGTCAGTTGGGCCTTTGCCCCTTGTTGACTTAATGGTCATAAAACAAAAATACAAAGTGTTCTCTGGATGCCACCTGTGCCAAACAAGCAATCTGATGTGTTCACCATGCAGAAGGACAGCCACTTAGCATGGGACCCAGAAATATTGCAAGGATCTCTGTGGTAGAGGTGGCTACAAAAGAGATTCTCCGCTTACACAAGATGGACCAATGTACCCATGCAAAAAAATCCATACCTGTAATTCATCTTTAAGCGCAAAAACGAGATGTACCACTACACTTTCACTTGTAACTGTCTGGTAACAAAAAAAAATAATAATCCCTTAGTATAGCACAAACTTTTTAATTTTATTCAGAGTATGGAAGGGATAAAGCTCCTGTAAGCTTATTTTTTGGCTGCCCGTGTTCTGATCGGGAGATTTCCCTTAATTTCCCTTCCCAGACATGTAACAGTTAGTGAAAGGTAATCTCTTCAAAATGGGGGTAATTTCCACTTTAGACAGTTGTCCCCTTTGAAAGATATGCCTTTAACTTTTGTTCTCCTGACTACTGGAAAAGTTTGGATTTCCTCTCAACTGCTGTCTCAGTGGTAATAGCGCACCCCTGTTCTGCTTAGACCTGGTCACTTCTGCCTACAACCACATACTGTCATCCTCCCTGGACACACTCGCTCCCTCTCTACCTGCAGAACCAAGCCTCGCGTGCTACAACCCTGACAAACAAACGACACCAGAAGTCTCAAGAGATGCAGCCGTGCTCTTAAGCAAATGTGGAAAAAGACTAAATCCCTGCAAGACTTCACCCTCTACAAATCTGTTCTTCTTAAATACAACTCTTGCCTCCATACTGCTAAACAAACCTACTACACCATTCTCATCAAGACTCTTTCATCCAGACCTCATCAACTCTTTTCTACCCTTAATTCCTTACTTCACCCCCACTGCCTCCAGCCACCAACTTGCTTACTGTCCATGAGACTGTCAATCATTTCAAAAACAAAGTCTACACAATTCGTGATGAGATATGCAACGTCCAACTTTCTCCCCTAACCAACACACCAAGTCCCCCACCACACTTTTCTCCTTCAACCCTGTTACCATTGAGGAGGTTGCCAAATTCTTTTCCTCTGCCCACCCCACCACCTGTCCCCTGGACATTGTCCTCTCACAATTACTGCTCATCTTCCTGCTCCATCTTAAACTCTCTAACCCACATCTTTAACCTCCCCTCTCCTCCCTGCTCAAACATGCACTGGTCACCCCATACTTAAAAAACCCTCTCTGAACCCCATCTGTTTGAAAAACTTAAGACCCATCTTCCTGCTCCAGTTTGCCTCCAAGCTTCTTGAATGCCTTGTCCACAGCCGCATTAGTTGCTACCTCAATGACAACAACCTTCTTCATCACCTACAATCCGGTATTCACCTGCAACATTCCACTGAAACTGCCCTATTACAACTCACCAATTACCTACTAATTGCTAAAACCAATGGCCAGTACTCCATACTCATACTCTTAGACCTTTCTGCTGCCTTTGACACAGTTGACCACCCACTCCTCCTCAACAAACTCCACTCCCTTGGCCTCTGTGACTCTGCTCTTTCCTGGTTCTCCTCCTACTTATCTCAGCACACTTTCAGTGTCACATACAATACCATATCCTCCACTCATGGATGGAGACATCCCATGCAATGGCAGAGGGACATCCTCCCTGGGTCTCCGGTCCCTCTTTTGCTTCAGTCACATCCACAGCTGATGGGAGGACTTCCCTCTGCCACTGCATGTGAGGTCTCCAGCATCTGACAAGGAAGTTTAAGGAAGGAAAGTGTCTGAACTGGAGAGGGGTCTGTACTATGGGGTGGGCTGGGCTGAGCCACTATAAATCATATATATAGAAATGTGCCACCTAATCTTTGATATGCAAATCATAGGGCAGTTTATTCATATCCAAATCCCAAGGCAACTTGCATATGAATGCACTGTGGGAATAATGTAGAGTAAGAGCCTATGAGGGACAAAGCCCCTGTTCATGGGACAGCAGGACAAAACTGAAAAAGTGGGACAGCTCCACACAATTTGGGACTATGGTTGTGAAGTCCTGTTCTAGGGTGTCACTGTACCTTCATAGATACAGTACAATGACTGAACATTGCCATCCCAAAACTGAAAGTTTATTACGGGCAGGATCACAAGTTGAAAATAAATGAGAAAAGGCCTGAAAAAAGAAAACTAATGCAGCAATCACGTCTAAGGACTGGTAAGCTGCCATATACAGTTGCAAGAAAAAGTATGTGAACCCCTTGGGATTACGTAGAGTTTTGCATGAATTGGGCATGAAATGTGCTCTGAACGTCATCTAAGTCACAACAATAGAAGAACACAGTCTGCTGAACATAATACTACACAAACATTAGATGTTGCCATGGTTTAATTGCACATAACATGTAAACATTCACAGTGCAGGGAGGAAAAAGTATGTGAACCTTTGGACTTAATAACTGGTTGACCCTCCTTTGGCAGCAATAACCTCAACCAAACGTTTCCTGTAGTTGCAGATCAGACCTGCACAACGATCTGGAGTCATTTTGGACCACTCCTCTTCACAAAACTGTTTCAGTGCAGCAATATTCTTGGGATGTCTGGTGTGAATTCGCTCTCTTAAGGTCATGCCACAGCATTTCAATCGGGTTGAGGTCAGGACTCTGACTGGGCCACTCCAGAAGGTGTATTTTGTGCCGTTGCAGCCATTGTTTTGTTGAATTACTTGTAAGCTTTGGGTCATTGTCCTGTTGCATCACCCATCCTCTTCGGAGCTTCACTTGGCGGACAGATGGTTGTACGTTTTCCTGCAAAATGTCTTGATAAACTCTGGAATTCATTTTCCCATCAATGACAACAATCCATCCAGGCCCTGAGGCAGCAAAGCAGCCCCAAACCATGATGCTCCCTCCGCCATGTTTTACAGTGGGGATGAGGTTTTGATGTTGGTGTGCTGTGCCTTTTTTTCTCCACACATAGTGTTGTGTGTTCTTCCCAAACAACTCAATCTTGGTTTCATCTGTCCACAGTATATTTTGTCAGTAGTGCTGTGGAACATCCAGGTGCTCTTTTGCAAACTTCAAACGTGCCGCAATATTCTTTTTGGACAGCAATGGCTTCCTCCGTGGTGTCCTCCCATGTACTCCATTCTTGTTTAATGTTTTCCTTATTGTAGATGTGTCAACAAAAATGTTAGCATGTGCCAGAGATTTCTGTAGGTCTTTAGCTGACACTCTGGGATTCTTCTTTACCTCATGCAGCATTCTGCGCTGTGCTCTTGCAGTCATTTTTACAGGACGACAACGCCTAGGGAGAGTAGCAACAGTGCTAAACTTTCTCCATTTGTAGACAGTCTGTCTTACCGTGGACACATGAACATCAAGGCTTTTGGAGATACTTTTGTAACCCTTTCCAGCTTCATGCAAGTCAACAATTCTTGATCGTAGGTCTTCTGAGAGCTCTTTTCTGCTAGGCATGGTTCACATCAGACAGTGCTTCTTGAAACCAGTAAACCCAAAACAGGTGTGTGTTTTTTAAGGGCAGGACAGCTGTCAGCAACACATCCAATATCATCACACTGATTGGAGTCAAGGTTGGCTCACTCCTGGCTCCAATTAGCTCTGGGAGAAGTCATTAAGCTAGGGCCTCACATACTTTTTCCTCCCTGCACTGTGAATGTTTACATGTTATGTGCAATTAAACCATGGCAATATCTAATGTTTGTGTAGTATTATGTTCAGCAGACTGTGTTCTTCTATTGTTGTGACTTAGATGACGTTCAGAGCACATTTTATGCACAATTCATGTAAAACTCCACGTAATCCCAAGGGGTTCACATACTTTTTCTTGCAACTGTATAACCTTTCTGTTTGCTTGTGTTAACCTCCCTGGCGGTATTCCCGAGTGTAGCTCGGGGTAAAGTTTCAGTACCACAAGCGGTAACCCCGAGCTACACGCGGGAATACCATGCAATGCTGCTCTGGGGCCCCTCGATCACTTACCTTGTCCTGCGCTCCCACGATGTCCCTCCTGCAGTGTCCCCGGCAATGTAATCCGGCGGATGCCGGTATCTGTCATCTGGGTTCCGTCCCCTGCAAGCGTCGGGACGTACGGGGGACGGAACTGGCGAGAAATTTGAAAATGACAAAAAGTGACATTCACTAAAATCACTAAAATCACATAGTAAAACATTACTGTATCAAACCATTTCACATACATTTTGTCCCTACTGCTTTGTCCTGTGTCCTGCCTGCATTTTTACTGTTCTTTCTGCCTGGAAACTGAGAAACGTCCATGGCAGGGGCGGACTGACCATTTGGAAACTCGGGCACTGCCCGAGGGCCCGGGGTCAGTAGGGGGCCACATGAGATGCCCCTGGTATCTTTTTCATAGGCTTTTTTGAGTTTGGGCAAGGACACAGGGGCCCCATGATCCCTTATTGCCCGGGGGCCCCATGAGTTGTCAGTCCGTCCCTGGTCCATGGCATCCAAAAAACGTCCCTTTAGGTCAAAAGCGGTTTTAGACCAGCTAGAGAACAGCGATAGTAAATTAGAACTACTTGCAGAATTGAGTGATAATGATTCGTCATCAAACACTGAAAACGATTTTGCGACTTTACTCAGTGATGTGCGAACTTGGTGCTATAATTCAAATTTCAGTGTTTTTTGTTTGATTATAATATTTAATTAAATTTATTATATTATTATTTTTTATGATTATTTATTAAATTATAAATTATGATTTCGTGTTTCAAGTTTTATCCTACCCGGGATGTTTACTAGACTCTTGTTCGGACATATTTCAGTGAGTTATTCCTAAAAATTACAGGCCTACAATAAAAAAAAATACAAATTTCCATGCAAAAAAATGTACCCCTTTGAGCACAGAAATATGGACATAATCAGACCGTTAGGGAGGTTAAGATGTCCTTTAGCTAATAGAACTAATGTGAATAAACCCCCATCTAATCATAAAAAACTCTGGTGTTACACCTGTTTAAGAGTGTTAGGATAGAGGCATGTTGGAGTGAATACAGGCGACATGCTGTTTTCTTGTGTTTATCATTAGGAAATCCATTCAAATAATGCAGCAACAAAGAGGTATTGGACTACGCAAAAAAAATTAAAGGAAAAATAGAATAAAAGAGACATAAGGAGCAATATTATCATTTCAGCCCTTCAGCCAGTAAGATACGACTGTTGTCTTTAGGCGCCCTCTACAGTACTGAACACTTACAGCTCTCCAGTCTTCTCTCAATTGGACTGTCAAATATTGCATGCTAAGTCTATGGAACAAGCTGTATCATATATTATTCATTCGGTTGATTAACAAACATTACAATTGGTATTCAAATAAACAAGAGAAAAAAAAGAAAGACACAGTAAAATGCATAGACTACAAAACCTTGGTCCATAACTGGCAGTATTGTGTGATAGTAATACAGCACATGCACTAAGTCTTATAGTCACAAGAGGGAAGCACTGTACTTTGCTAATAGTAGCATTGCAGATGTGTACTCCATATACTGTGTGTATATAAAAAAAAGGAAAGAAAAATCATATATATATATATATTTTTTTTTTAAACTAAAATCCAAAAGAGAGAGCTTGTTTTACCCTCTGTCCTTCCAGCGGAATTTACACAAAACTTTTTTTTAAAAGTATGCATTCTTTCCTCAAAAAAGTACCTTCTGTTGTTCTCAGTCCACTCCAAATCTCCAAATTTCTATTTTTTTTTCCTGCCGTGATCTGAATTCCTGTCGCTAAGTTCATTCCCACTGTATGTAGGAGTGTAGCCACCCTCTCTTGTTCACTTCCAAGATGGACAATGGACTACCGACTATGGGATTTTTAGCATGCATAAATCAGGGCATTATGACTGCAACTAATGTGAAATGCTCATTGCAAACAAAGGGTAAGGAGGGAAAAGGAGAGATTCAGAAACACATGTAAGATGTTACAAGAAGGCAGAAAAATACAGAAAGGAATGATTTTATGAAAAATAGATTACAGATCCATTATGTAGTAGATTTGTATGGATTATTTTTGCAGAATAAAGATATAATTTGGTGCCGATTTAAAGAATATGTAAACCCAACATTTCATATTCCTGATATGTGCCTGCTGTACCAATTACTTGTATGAAAACGTATCCTGTTCTCATTGTATTGCTTCCTTTGCGTAAAATCCTCAGTGTTCCTGCAAATCCCTCTGCTTTCCTATGACAAACTGACCACATTTGGCATGAGCGCATAGTGTGGTCAGTTCTCTAGCTGTGCTGAGAACTCAGTCTGCTCTCCTCAAATGATCAGACAGGTCCCCTTGGCTCACTACTTCTGCTCAAAGTCAAATCCTAGCATCAACTATTCCTTTGGTAAAATAATAACCCTGCTCACTATGCTTAGCAACCAAGAGCAATATGCCTGTTGGAGTTGGACATGACAGCAGTATACACATCTACCAACCTTTCGAAATGGAAAAATTTGTGCACAGAACATTTAGGCATTGGACTGTTGTCAATCACCCTCTGATTATGGGTACTATGATAAATGAAAGAACAGGAATGTCTGTGATGGTCCTCATGAAATATCTAGCAGTAGTTAGTCGCATACACCTGGACTTGTTCTGTGATGTAAAAGACATTGTGAAGCTTCTCCAAAAACCTACTTTAGTTCTAATGAGTGTCAGATGATACCCCAATATTTATATCCACACAGCTAGCACAGACACCTCAATCCAATCACTGTGAAATGCGTAGATGTTGGTGGTCCGATAATTGGATAGGAAGTCTGAAAGTTGTGGATTGAAGCTCCACTCCCCCATCTTATAGAGAAGAGTTCAGTAGTTTTTTTTTCGTAGGGTGACAGTGCTGCTTCTCCATAGATACAGTCAGGGGCGTATTTACCACAAGGCAAACAAGGCACTTGCCTAGGGTGGCATTTTTTCAGGGGGGCAGCACATCTCCCCAAAAGAACGGATGTGCGCACCATGCGAACCAGGTGGGATCCGAGAGAAGCTGTGTCTGCTCTTGAAGTGGTGGCCCCAAATTTGAAAGTGATCACAAAGTCAAGCTTTCTCCCTCCAGGATTCATCCTTATTGGACTGGTAGCCAAGTTAAGCCGAGGAGAAGTCATATTTTTGTCCAGAGGAATTTCTATATAGAACCCAGCTGTATCTGATACACATCTACTCCTGTCGAGGAGGGGTTATACCTTTTGGAGGATTTGCTGTATAAAAGCTCATTTATCCTTTGCTTCTGGTGAGTGCATTAGGAGGAAGAATTGTCACGCATTCACTTTTCACTAGATGTCACTCTATTCTAATCATTATTTAACACTTTTGGACATTATTTTTTTTGACTTTTTGCTATTTATAAACACACCTATAATATGATTTTTATCACGCATGTCATCAGTCTTCATGATATAATATTCTAGTGCTTTTCCAGTTGCTTTATATTTATGGTATATACACATTAGCGCTGCACCCTTTTCTTGTATATGTTTTTGTGGATGAAGTGGGTGTTTGTTCTTCTGTGCTAGATGCTTGTGGTTTTTCTTTTTGCGCTCACTTTTCACATGTAAATACACCACTGGATACAGTACCGTGTTGTTCTCCTAGGATAGGAAATGTGTTTGTTTGCAGGATCACCAGGTGAAAAATAAAAGAAAAAAATACCCCACATCTAAGGCCCCATCGTTGGTGTCATTGGGAGAGGAGGGAGCTGCAATCTTTAAAATGTTTGTTCTTTTATTAAAACGAACCCATGTCCAAATCATAAACGCTAAAGTATTTTACATATTTTAACAAGAATTCATAACACTTTAAAGCGATTCTAAAGGTTCAATTAAAAAAAAAAAAATAAAAAACAAAATATCTATACTTACCTGCTGTGTGCAGTGGTTTTGCATAGAGCAGCCTGGATTTTGTTCTTGGGTCCCCCACAGGCTCTCCTGGCTCCTTTTGTCTGTTGGGTGCCCCCACAGCAAGCAGCTTGCTATGGGGGCATCCGCTGCTCCATGTGTCCATTCACACCATGGCTTGGCCCCAACCCTTCTCTCTCCTCATTGGCTGTGATTGACAGCAGCGGGAGCCAATGAGGAGGCAGAGACCTGGGACAGCCAAGGCTGTCATTCACATCGCTGGATCACGATGAGGCACAGGTAAGTATTGAAGGGGTTGGGGGCACTGCTGCCCACAGAAGGGTTTTTACCTTCATGCATAGAATGCATGAAGGTAAAAAACCTTCAGCCTTTACAACCACTTTAAGCGCTTGTTTGCCTCTGTATCTACAAGCATTGTGGAGAAATCCATTTGCAAAGTTCACAACACAGGCATTGAAATCTCAGCAAATCTTGGCATCCTGCCTATCATCTAATGTAAACACACAGCAGGGTATTTTAAACTGTTTGGAACTAACTTTACCCTCCGTTCACATCAAGCCTGACTTTGAGATCATGCGACTTACAGTGAAGTTGCACGATTTCAAAGTCGGGATACCCACGGATTTCAGGTGCGATTTGCAAGACATCTGATATAGATATCTATTCAAATCGCACCAAAATTAGTGCATGTACTACTATAGAAATCAGTGGGCTCTGTCCAAGTCTGAACCGCACCGATATGACTGCTCCAATTGCAGACAATAGGGTGGGACTTGGCATGCAATTTGCAAGTCTCAGGGCATGCAAATCACGTGCCAAATTGCATCCAGTGTGAACCAGGGCTTAGTCACCGGGCACACCGCTGAAATTTAAAATCACGCAATGTGTTTGCAATTTCAGCGCAATTTCAGGTACAATTTCTAAAGACTTTATTGCTGCTAGTGAAGATTTTCAAGGATTTCTTGCAATTTGCAGTGCGATTTCCATTGTATTCTATGTATGTGAAATTGCAAGAAAAACTACAGAAAAAGTGATGCAAGCACTACTTTAGAAATCGCACTGCAGCAAACCACACATATTAAGACACTGACATTCACATTCATTAGATGCGATTTCAGGTGTGATTTCAATTTGCAAATCACACCTGAAATCACACTTGTATGACCAAGCAGTTAGCCCCTGGTTACATATAAGCCGATTTTGAAATCATGCGACTTACAGTGAAGTTGCACGATTTCAAAATAGGGTGACCTGCCGATTTCAGTTACAATTTGCAAGACATCTGACACAGATGTCTGTGCAAATCGAAAGAAAAGCAGTGCATGTACTACTTTAG